GTACAGGGGCTTGATATGTGTCCTCATAGACCTATGAAGCCACCGTAGGTACTCGTCGAAGGTGTGCTGGTCGTGTGGAGGACCCGCATGGACTGGATGTCGTACCCTGTTCTGCCACAAATGGATGTGCGCGCTGTGTGCCACGCGACAATCCTTGGTCTTGTACCTCTTCCTGCGGTCATACCTGCAACAAAATGATGTTAGTTGTACCACACACCTCTGAATTGAAGCATTATTATTAATCGATAACGCACCCGTGTAATTCTTGGTTGGTGGAGTAAAGCGGTGGTGGGTAGCCTGTCATTCTTCCAAACTGTCTACAGACCCATATGGGCAAGTAAATCTCGACCACATGGAAGAAAATAAGAGGGACATCGCCGCGATACTCGTCTGACTCATCCCTAGTGATAGGACTGAGATAGTCCTGGAGCTCCAGAGAATCCCAAGGACACCAATACACCTAAAATTGTGTAATTGAGTTAGGTTGTGATATAGTGTACATCGAATAAAACATAGGTATGATAGTAAAGAGAGCGTAACCTGGTGCTGTGTCAGGACGTCGAGACCGTCCGTGTACTCCCTGTACTTGCGCCACACATTCCCTCTAACTAACTGTGCTTCCGTCCAGATATACAGAGCTGTAGGGAGTGTGTCCTGCCCGTTGCATCGTTGCATTGAACACAATAATGAATTAGCCATTAATAATCTCATCATATGTAACTGCCTCCAAGAATATAGTGAACCGAAGTACTTACCAGTAAACCATTATTAAGAGGCCTCCCAACGGGCCATCGTTCCCAACACCAAACCTGGAGTAGATAGGAGCAACCCCCAAGGTTCGCATATCCTGAGGTGCGACGGCAGGCAACGCATAGCTGTCAATACGTCCATGCCAGGACTACGCTGCCCCAGCTGTACGCCGCTATGTTCTCCCACGGCTGGTGTAGTATGTCAAGGAACATCCAGCTGATGGTGTTGCCCGAGGCGTCTGGGAAGAGGAAAGCACCAAGAAAGTGCCAGAGCCACACTCGAGCGAACCAGTCGATCAGAGCCTCCTCAGCCTGTGGGTCCAAGTAATCAAAGCGCTCTGTGATCCAGGACAACGAAACACCGGAACTTTTCCTGAAATTGACCAAAGAAAATGAGACCCCATGGCTGTAGGAAAGCAATGCAAGTATTAAATAGGCTTGAATTACTCACTTATTTTTTTTGAAGCCTCGTCGTCCGGTGGAAGAAAGCCAGTAAACTGAGCTACCAGCTCCCTCCAGTGATCGTTGTCAACTATCCCTGTCACTGGAAGTCCCCCCAACCGAAGGCCTAAAATAGCCTTCACGTCCTGCAACGTCAAGGTCATCTCGCCACAAGGTATGTGGAACGTGTGGGTCTCAGGCCTCCACATGTTATAAGAATAGAACGACTGTTAGTTGCTTCAAATTTGTTACAAGAAAGTTTACGTACAAAGAATGCACTCTCACATGTCTACAGCTGCATTAAGTAGTGCTGTGTTAACGGGCGGAAGACCGTGGTTGACAACATGGACAAACTCGAGGAAGCCGGCACGCCGTATGTACGGCGCATAACGCTCGTCCCACTGGTGCGCCCTAGTGTGTGTGCGGGGCCTCAAAGGAGGCAAGACCACCTCTGCGTGGTTGTCACTCAAGATGTGTGCTCGGTGCTGGTCGTCGTACTCCACCTCAAGAATGGGGTATAACTGGTGCTGCGTGGGAGGGGCCATCCTGTTGCAAATTGATAAACAAAACGTTAGAGTATTCAAATTAACATTAGTAAGTTCACAAACAAATCACAAACAAATTCACTAACCTAACTATCCTAAATCCCTAAACCCTAAATCCTAACTATACTAGATAATAAATACAAAATCAATCCCTAAACCCTTTTGGGTTTAGGGTAAACTAGTATCTACACCAAAAATCCCTAACTAAATAACTAACTATAAACTAAATAATAAATATATAATCAATCCGTAAACCCAAAATTCTAACTATACTAGAACATACAACCTCAAACCTAAAAACTACCTACGTAAATCACAAACAAATTCACTAACTATCCTAAATCACTAACTATCCTAAATCAATAACAATCATAAAACCCTAACTATCCTAAATTACTAAATATCCTAAATCACTAATTATCCTAAATCAATAATAAAAAAAATGAAATCGAGAGGGAGGTACCTTAGGAGCGGGCGGCCTTGACGCGCCGGTGTTCGTGGCGCGGCCGGCGCGGGCGCTGCGTGGCGGGAGTGGCCGGGCGGGCGCGGCAGCTGGCGGCGAGCGGGTAGGGGTGCGTGCGGGTGGGCGGGCTCGCACGCGGTATTTATTTGGTCCAGCCGCGCCACGGATCAGGGCGCGGCACTGCCACGCCAAGGTCAGTGGCGCGGCAGGACCTGCCACGTCAACGGTCACCGGAACGGGTCGCCACCACGTCAGCCCGCTGCCGTGCCACCATGCATGGCGCGGCACAGGCATTTGGCCGCGCCAGGGCAATAGGTGCGGCCAAAAGTGTTAGTTTAAAAAAAACAGACAGTGTTAGATTTAAAATTAGTTATAAAAAAGTGTTAAAATTAAAAAAAAATTCAAGATAGCTTGCTCTGCTGGGGGCTCCGATAATTGGACGAGGAACATGTGCATGGCGGTATGTAGTGGTCAGGCCCACTTGTATTTATTTAGCTGTACGCGTCTGAGGAGCTGGACTGCATATCTTTTGCTGTATGGGCACTTGACCGGATAAGCCAAACAGGATATGGAACCAACCGTCGAGTCAACCCATTCCGATCCTGACACAGCGAGCGAGGTTGTTAAGTTACTGTTTGGAATCAAGCTCCAAAGGCAGCTAGTACTGTATTTGGCCCAATATTCTCATTTGCCCATAATGTGATGTCTTTAGACCGTCTCCAACGGCACAACCCAAACACAAAATACGTCGTTCACAGTGTTTTGCGTAAAAAAAACATACGCTCCAACAGAAGACTCAAACAGAGGACCCGTTTTGCATACCAGCCGAGCAAAAAATGCAAATAAGCGTCGTCGAGAGAGACGACGCAAATCTCTAGAGCCCGTAGTGGTGGGCCCGCGGCGAGGCATGGCCCGCGACGGGGCGCGGCCGGCTCGGCGAGGCGAGCCCGTGGCGGGGAGGCGCCGGCACGGCCAGGCGGGACCGCGGAGGGGAACCGCCCGCGTGGCGAGGAGCGGACGCGGCGAGAAGCAGCCGGCGTGGTGAGGAGCGGGGAGCGGGGCGCGGCGAGGGGAGCCGCCGGCGCTGCGAGGAGCATCGACCAAGCGCTCTGGTTTGGGTCTGTGCTGTCTTCGTCGGCGGCCGCAGCAGAGAAGAAGCCGTTGGCGGCGGCCAGCCCCAAAGCCCCCGCTGTCTCTGTCCCTGGCACCGGCACGCCCACCCGAGGTGTAGATGCCATCGACCAAGCGCTTCGGTGAGTCGCGAGTTGCCGTTGCGCTGGTCTTTTGCGTAAGCTGTTGGAGAAGATATGTTTTGGGTGCATGATCCTTTTGTTGTGCATGACCCAAATCATTGAATGGGTCTCTGGTTTGGATCTGTGCTATTGGAGATAGCCTTATTATGGGATAATGGGCATGCATACCAAAAGGTAGTTGTATTTGATTTGGGAGCAAGGAATTCTCGCACGGGAAATACTGTCCATTGACTCCATGACTGATGACGTACTCCTGAACGCAGCCACGCGTTGATCTTGTTGTACAACCTGGGATGCAAAAGTTTAAGTTTAGCAACACTACCTCCACTTGTAGTGGCTATTCATTGACCGGTACTCGATCCTATGGGCTCACCCCGGTGTCGAAATGTACAGCCTGACCGGCTATGATTTTTTGGTTCTGGCTGCAGTTGTTTGTTGTTATAGGAACAATATAAATCTATTTGCTTCTGTTTGCAACCACAAGTGCATCTACAACTGCAAAAATCTGCAGCTAGCGAGCACACCCATAATCCTTTTTTTTTTTAAAAATCAAACATTAGTCAAAATATTGTATGTATGTTGCGCCAGAAATACCCCTTATAAAAAGAATTGGAAGAGAAATTCAAAGTATATAGTGAAACAATTCCTTCAGATCCTAATACACCTTATAAAAAGAATTGGAGGGAGCAAATAACTTCGTAGACATCAAAGAAAACTTTGATGTAACTGGGTATATGCTTCTAAAAAAATGAAAACAATAATATCCCAATTTTTTCCCAATAAATATTATACTGATATTTTTAAAATTTGGTTTACGAAAAAAAATAGCCAAACACCCCAATAGATAGAAAAGTATTAATGTTCCAATAAAAGTTGCATTGGATGGTCTGTTTCAGTAAATTGAATATTACGAACAACACTAACCAAGTGATCTCTCAAATTGAAGGGTCATGGGCTAGGAAAAGTCAAAAGGTTACTACTCGTAATTACGAACTGGGAGACCCATGCATGCCCCGGACAGCCGGCTGCTGTGCCGCGCGCGCACCAGCACCACTGCAGCACTGCGTGTTGTTCCTTCATCGCCACGTCTCTTTCCCTCTAAAACTGCAGCACCCAGCCGTCTCCTTTGGCAGTACATAAGCCCATCGTCTCCCTCCCAACTCTAATCTCCCCTTAACAACTCCACTCTCCGCCGGAAAAATCCACCCGTCCATAAACCCAAAAAGGTTAGCAGCCTCCTTTTCCATCTCCCGGATCCGCACTATCTCTGATGCTATATGTGTGATCTCCAGCTGTTTCTTTATTATGTGTTCGATCTCCATGTATTTGGTTCATTCATGTAGCTGGCTAGGTCCACAATTGATTTTGCCTGACTTTCTTGCAGTACCAAATAATCTTGTCAAGTCGTTGTTTAATTATGCTACCGGACGAGTGAAGAGTACTGTTTAATTCTGTGTGTTTTTGCGTCTCAGTCTCAGGTTTAGTTGCAAGCAGTGATCAAAAGCAGGCTTAGACGACGGCGATCCTTAGCTCAGTAGCCAGGCAGGAGATGGAGCACGACGTGCACCATCACCAGCAGGAGGAGGCCATGGAGCTGCCGCCGGGGTTCCGATTCCACCCCACCGACGAGGAGCTCATCACGCACTACCTCGCCAGGAAGGCCGCCGACCCCCGCTTCGCCCCGCGGGCCGTCGGCGTGGCCGACCTCAACAAGTGCGAGCCATGGGACCTGCCATGTAAGATCTACTAGCAAATGATGAGTCCTATCAAATTTAAGGTTGTTCGTCCTTCATTAATGACTGTGTTGACACAAAATGTGACGCACTGTGCCTCACACACAGCAAGCCGAAAAGCGTAGCTTCAATCGGGTTCCCGGGTGCTTCGTTATCCGGAAGCGTGCCAGTCAGTTTGACCTGAAAAAAACTAACAAGGGACAAAACAATTAAATATCAAACCGGAACATGTCGGGTAATACCAGACAGTTCCACATATACGGCCCTGAAGCCACTTACAACGACATACATCTATAGAGAGCTGTCTGCCAATGAGTTCATAAACCGTTCAGCTAATAGTAAGATGAATGCACGTGGAGATCTGATTGCCGAATATACGTGCATGGGAAGACATGTTTGAACAAGTGAAATTAATTATGAGTTAATGCATAACCAAGCTCGGCAGTTCAGCCGAATTGGGGTCCATGAAGAAGGAACGTGCAAATAAAAAAACGATTAAACTAATCTAAAACCTGCATCTGCCGCACGACACCTGGTTTTGTTAAAGTTTAAACATGATTAACATGCATGAACCCGCGACATGTGACAATCTAGATTAAAATAATTCAGCCATTATATGCACACCATCTGATTGCAAAGGTATTATGAAAAGCAATGATCGTTGAAGCACGAATAAAACCACAAGAGAGAAAAAGGCCGAACAATATCAAATCTAGATTGGGCAGAAGTATGTTACAAATATATATAAAATATTCCGTAACATGCAACACTGGATAACTTAATGAATCTATTTAGATTTGTCATATCTAAAAGAGCCGATAACTATCTTGCTTTCACTAAGCATATTGAGCAAACGCCTGCCGCACGGTATCTACTCATAAACAAAGCATAAGCAAAGACTTCTTGATTGTCAAACAAAGATCCGCCGCACGACCATTGAAAACAAACAAGACTACTTGCATCACGTCTAAATCCAACGAATGATACTAAACATGATAACAAGGTTGTCGGAACTTACGGAGGTCGACGGATCGATGACTCCTCTCGAAGAACTCGACGACACGACAAAAGGACTCGAAAGTTGGCACGGGGCCGGTTGTATTGATTTGATTGTGAACCCCTATTACAATGGTCGAGGGTCAATATTTATACCCTAGACAAAACACGAGTCCTAGAGGACTACGATTTACAAAGGAACCTTTAAATAAACTTGGAAACTCACGATTCCTTACCCTAAACTTTTAGAGTCATTTACTATTACAACTTTCACCTTTTCGATCGGCCTTGCCTGCCATCTTCTGTTTTTTCCCGAATGGAATCACCGCCTTCTGGAGTAACCGACCGCAATGCATTTAGCCGACCGCTTGCTTTGTTTGCCGAATACCCTTCTTCCCGCATGTGGGTCTACCTGTCATCTTTCAGAATCGACCAAAATCCAGTGTTAACACATGCCCCCTCAATTTCGGGATAAAAGTTGTTTTATTCTGAAATTGACCACAAGCTCTTTCATTCTCCTAGGTCATCACCGTTCAAAACCGCAGCCGCTGCCCAAAAATTCAAGCTTTCAGCGCAACCTCGGACCTCCTTCAAATCTTCAATGGCGACCCAGGATGAAATCCCAGAGGTAAACTTTACTTATATTCGGCAATTTTCATTTTATCCTCCCGCTCCTCTTTTGATTTACTCCCCTTTGATTTCAATCATCTTCTAAAGGAATACAAGAGCCAGATTTTGATCCCCTATGCTGCCAACCCCGACTCCTATTTCCTCGGTTAACCAGCTTTATGTTTACTTATTTTTATTCATTCGAAAGCAATCGGCCCTTTTCCCTTAAATTACTCGATTAGAATGTAGCCGATTGTCTCCATTCTTCCGATAGCCGAACGAATCCAATTCAAATATTGTGAGGTATAACCGAACAATGTTGGCTCCTACAAACCAAGGAGATATTCGAGCGACGTTCGACTTAACCCATGCCTGGTCCAGCCCAGTAACGGCCCAGCCGAAAAGGAAAAAACCTACTCCGCCGTTCGGGATTCTCGCCCCACAACCCCGTGGAATTCGCCACGATCCCTCGCTTCGGCTTATAAATAGACCCTTCCGTTAGCCTTCATCGCTATCTTCGCCTCAGCGTTCTCACATCCGTCTCCTCCACTTCCTTCGTTCGATTCATTCCGAGAAGAAAACCCCAACCTCCATCAAAGCAAATGACGAATAGTGGCAACCGTGGCAAGCGTCCCCGCCGACGGAGAAATTTGAAGGAAGCGAGCATCGCATCACTGCCGGCGTCGTGGGTATGATTCGACTTTTGCCCCTTTGCAATTTCCTTGTTCATCTCTTAATTTCGATTTTTCCTCCTCATTCATCGAGATAAGGGTCATCACTCCAGCCAATACCATCTCCTTCCTCCGATGGATCGCAAATTCAACAGAACTCCATCATCCGGCTCCTCCGGGTCTTCCAGACTCTTCAAGCTCTTACCATTCCAATCCTTGGGGTTCGGCAGAACCAGCAGATGCACACCATCCATACTCTCACGAGGAGGCGCTCAAGTTCCGCCAGGAGAGGGACGAAGCCCGGGAGGAGCTAGGCGACGTCTCCAAGAAGTTCGGCATCGATCAAGCCGAATGGGAGGACCAGCGGAAGCAATTCTGCGACGCCATCACCGGTTTGATATCTTCATTTAGTTTTATCATCCTGACTTCCTTTGCTTGCCGACCCATTTCTTCTTTTCTGCCCAGCTCTTTCCGCGGAGAATGACCGCTTGAGGACGGCGGCGAACAAGATTGCCGACAAGGTGAATGCTCAGGGGGAGACATCCGAGGCACGCCTTGATGCTGTGGACGGCCGCATTGATCAGGCCGTCATCCAAGGTGTGCACCTCGGCGCCTCTCTCGGGCTGGCGGCAATGACCTCCCAAACCAACGAGGACTACTCCTCCCAGCCAGTTGGCTTTGTTGGAGGACGCCCGGACGAAGTCGAAGACATCGATGAGCGTCTGGAGGCCTACGACGATCATGCTGCTGCCCTTGCCGAAATCACAAACCCCCAGTCCGTCCTCAACAAGTTATTTGAGGAATAGTTTGTATTAGGATGGACTTTTTATAAATAATCTCGTCCTTTGGAAGAATACTTATTTCTTTGATTCTTTTCGGTAAAATTCCACCTGCGACTGTCAGAAAAATGCTGAAAACAACCCAGTTTCGGATAAACATTCTTGTGCTAGAGGCGACGCAAACTGCATCGGCTATTTTGTGCTAAAGGCGATATGAACGATATCGGCTATTCTCAGTCTTGTATTCGATCTTTAGGCTAAAGGCGATTTTTTCTTTGTCGGTTTTTCTGATCTACATTCATGAACCAACCTCAACACTGGGGTAGTATTTCTTAAGAAATCTTCCATTGATAGCTCTGGTAAACTCCTCCCCAAATAAAGTCTTCAATATGTATGCATTGCCAGGTACACATTCTACTATTCGGAAAGGACCTTCCCAATTTGGAGACCATTTGCCGAACGCTCTATCCTTTGTTCCAACTGGCAATATAGTTTTCCAAACCAAATCTCCTTACGCAAATTGCTTCACCTTTAACCCTTTTGTTATAATACACGCAACGCGTATTTTATTTTTCTCAATATTTTCCAATGCCTTGAGACGAATCAAATGTAAATCTTCCAATTCATCCATCATCGATTCTTATAATCTTCTTACGCCAATTCTTTACAGAACACAACTCGCCTTGAATCTAACCGTAATTCCCATGGTAGTACAGCATGATGCCCATAAACCAGTTCATAGGGAGACGTTTGAGTGGATCCATGACAAGCCATTCGGTAAGCCCACAGTGCTTCATTAAGAACCAAGTGCCACTTCCTTGGTTTTTCATCAATCTTCTTCTGGATAATTTTAATCATAATCTTATTTGATGCTTCTGCCTGACCATTAGCTTGTGCATAATAAGGAGAAGAATTATACAACTTAATCCCCATACTTTTGGCAAAGTCACGAATTACAAGAAGTAAATTGAGTTCCTTGATGGGTTGTTATAGTCTGAGGAATCCCAAATCTATGAACTATATGTTCCTTAACAAAACTGATCATATTCTCTGGCCGTTACCTTCTTCAAAGGGATAGCCTCAACCCACTTGGTGAAATAATCCGTGGCCAAGAGTACAAATTTGTGTCCCTTACTAGAAGGAGGATTGATCTGACCAATTAAATCTATACCCCATCCTCTGAACGGCCAAGGCTTGATTATAGGATTCATAGCAGACGCTAGAACTTTTTGAATATTACCGAATTTTTGACAATTGTGACACCCTTTGTAATATTCAAAACAATCTTCCAACATAGTTGGCCAAAAGTAACCAGTTCTCCTAATTATCCACTTCATCCGATAAGCTGACTGATGTGCACCACACAATCCTTCGTGAACCTCATACATCACTTTCTTGGCCTCTTCTTGACTTAAGCACTTGAGCAATACTCCATCGATGGACTTGTAATATAACTGATCATCAAGAAACACAAATTTGAGAGCTTTGTACCTGAGTTTTCGGGAAACCTTCGAGATGGATTTTTCGGATAATTGGTAACCATTATCTCCAATCACCATCTCTTGGATCGATGTTTAAAACATCTTCCTCCATAGCAAAAACTTCCCGATTCTCTTGATATCCGAAGCCACTTGAGCTAACTTATTTGCTTCTTCATTGTACTCTCTAGGGATATGATGCAAGGTTACTATCCAGAAAATTCTTCAAAAGTTCTCTACACTCCTCATAATATTCTCTTAACACATTGTTCTTGCATTCATATCTGACCATTCGGTTGATTAATCACCAACTCGAGAATCCCCAAAGATTTCAACAACAACGGCCTTTACTTCTATGAGAAGTCAAGCCCTCTAAGCAATGCTTCATACTCACTTTGATTGTTAGTAACATGAAATTCAATAGGAACTGCGTACTCAAAAGCTTTTCCTTGTGGGGAATCAAAAGAATA